TTTACTGAGGATAGTTGAGTTATCCTGGCATTAAGCTACAATAAATCATTCAAACTCGATAAGAGAATCTCAACGAGATCTTAAAATTAAACTTGTTACCAAATACACAGTTCTTGTCCGAGGTCTTTACTTAAGGACACCAATGTAAGCGTATTCAAAGAGATTCGAAAATTGTTATGTCGTTTTCGCTATAGTTGTCCTAATGTAATATGCAGTTTTCGAAATTCAAATCTGTAATACAAATGCAACTACTAAAACGAACGATGTTCTTTGGTTTTGGGGGACTTAAAAATGAAAGATTACAGTGAGGTGGACCTACGAGTATATCTAACGATGATGACGACGGTGGAGGTACCGGTAATTTTAACAAAAACATTAAACATACAGTGTTATTCGTCAACAAATAAATAGGTGACCATGCAGCTTCATTAAACGACAAACAGCACAAAACTGTTAATAATCATAGATAGGTACCCAAAAAAGAACACGTTCGTGAATACCATGTTTTATAAATTAACTACTGTAGTGTGATATGGTTGACATTTCACTATTTATTTCATAAGGCGAATGAGTAAGTTTTTAGTCTTTAGAAAATACCGTCGGTTCCAGATGGTTTTGGAGTGTTATCCTGTTAATTATTTTTATAGTTCACGAAATTTTTTAACAAAAGCTTGAATAGTTAGTTATATATATATATATATTTTTTTTTTAGTTTTATCCGTAATCCAATACCATTGACTATTTGATAATAGTCATAGCTAATACTTAATATTTTAATGTTTTACACATTTCCGGCACATACAAACATATTAAAAAGATTAAAAAAATACAAACACTGTATACAAGAAACCAATATAAATTTAAGCCATGAATTATTTTGTAATAAATGTAAATTCTTACAGTTAGACAGTTTTTACATATATTTTCAAACAAAAATATGCCCACTAAAATAAATATTTTAATAATTGTCAGGTCATTTTGAATTTTTGAAACACTTACTAAAACAACGAAGATTTTCTAATATCCACCAACCTTTTTATGTAAATCCAATTCCAGTCAAGTAAACAACACATAATCCAACATCGTAGGTTAGGGATACATCCGTACACAGGAAAATTCGCGCACCATCTGAATCTAAAGGAACTGGACGACTCGCAGGCTGGCCAATTCAGCGCTCCTGCCAAACAAATTTCCCGACTTTCCTTAGTTTTCCCCTACAATGATTTATGATAACAACACACGTAAACAAAAGATTAAGCTCGGAGATCGACTTTCTTTGGCGAGATTTGTTACGATGTAATAAAACCGTCATCATTCCACATTTATGTTTGGGCGTTTTTTTGTCCGTCGTTCAATGCTATAAAATGCCTTGAGATTGTCTTTTGGCGAAAGTACATTACTTCATCTATGGTACTAGCAACATGAAAATCTATCCTATCCTATATTCTAATACGAGCTATGCCTGTTTGTCTATATAGGTACATATACCAACATCCAGCGGAAGGATTTTGACTAGATTTTGGAACATATATTCCAATACGAGCTATGTCTATTTGTCTGTACTGTAATATATATATATCGTCATCCAGCGGAAGGATTTTGACTAAATTTTGAAATTAGGGACGGGACTTATAGCCCTAAAAACGTAATTGGTGACAGCCACTACCTCAGGAAATTCGCGTTCACAGACTCATATAATGTTGGGGCAATAGCCACTATTCTAGTAATTATTTTGTACAAACTATTAGCCTCATGGGTTACCCTACCTTGAATTATCGTTTAACATTTTTGTATATTATAATATGTATAATAGTTATTACCATTGACTATACACCTCTACTCGGTGTATAGTCAAATTTCGGCGAAATTTCAAATTTCGGCATGAGAAAGAGTTTCGACAAAGGCCTAAGCAAGCATGCCAGCTGTTTTATTCGAAAACTATTCAAAATTTCACAACTTTAACCATTATTATCTTTGAAACGGTTAGGTTTATAAAAAAAAACACAAGAGCAAAATTGTCTTAAAATTACATTTTCTACAGGAATACATCATAAAATACAGGGTGTTCCATAAGAAAAATCAAAGTTGACGGCCATATTGGAAAAATGGCGGCTAAAATATTTTTCTTCGACTTGACTACAATTTAAAAAATAAAAAAATCCAAGGCACTTACCATTTAACTTTTTTTGATATTTCTTATAAATAGTTACGAATAAAAAAGCTGGCACACTTATATCAATCACAATGTATATACATTAAAAATTAGAACTAATAGTGTTTTTGGCCTCTGGGGACATCAAAATGAAAAAGTAAATCGATCCCGGGGCTAAATATTACCGTGCCACCAATGGTAATAGTTACTCCCCTTTAGGGAAATTCGCTAAAAGTAAACAAAAGACTTGAAACATGTGCTTATAACAAGCCACCCACAGTATACCAGCAAATTATAAAATACAGAACAGTACAAACAAACTACAAACTGATAATCATCAGTCGAAGTAACCATTGGGCAAAGATTACATTGGAGATTACTCGATATAGGGGAAAATGGGGAAATATAGCAAGTCAGTGTTGATAAGTGATGAGTGTTTCATGTTGGTGCCGTTTTAATGCACTGCATCAACTCAATGTTTCACTCTTATACATTTTACAATTTGTATCCACTCTTTTTTTTATATTTTACATAATTTGGACAGGTATTCATAATAAATTGAAATTCCGCCGGAACTTATTTAATAAAAGCCAAAATTAGTTGTAAAAACGTTGAGTTTCTTTTATATTGCTTTTACAATTGAAAAAAACTAAACCGGAGCCATGGTCCCCCGGTACTACCAACATAAAACAATATTTTGATACGAATAATTTAAATAAAAAAAAACTGCAAATGAATTCGTTGTACGAGATTATAAAAAATAATCATATTGTGTGAAAATTCCAACAAAATACGTGCAATGATTAGAGATACTTAAGAAAGAGTTGATGTAGTAGGCAACAGTAAAAAGAAAATTCAAAAAGCAAATGAAAGAGTGCCTTCAATTGTGATACTTAGACCTGAGCACTTAGCTTAATTGTAGTGCAAACAAGCTAACTGCTGCTAAAAGCGCTATTGATTTAATTTCCCCGAAACTCAGCATTGTTCATGTATGTACACTTGGGGGGGTAAACGTTTCTCGATTCAAGCCTCAATCATCGATTGGAGGGCCTTTCAAATTATTCTGGACTGCAAAAATGTTGATGAACAGTTACAAAAACCATTATGAATCGAAATTAAGTTACTTACTTATTTAGTCAAACATTGGGACCACATGTGGTCCTTTCTTACAGATAAGGGAATAATCCTATATCTCTGACTTTTTATCTTTAACTTTTAATTTTATTTTTAACACAATTTGATGACCAAAATCTTTTGAATACTATCAAATTTAACTGTTAAAAAGTTTGATCAGAATAGGTGAAGTACTGACATAGTTATTCTGTTATTCAGAGTTATGAAACACACAATTCCCTTCCTTCTGAGCTATAAAATAAAATACAACATTTGGAAAAGGAAAAACCGAGGCACTCTCGAATCAAAACCCTGTTGTCCCAATGAAGAAAGAAGATGATGGAAATTATGGGGTCACTGTTTCAGAGAACTTCTGTACTCATGTCGAATTAAATGTATTTAGAAATAAGTGCCTACAACTAGAGAATGCTATATCACTACTCCAGAGTGATGTTAATAAATTAAAGAGTGGACACGAAAAAAGTGTGTATACGATGGTGACTGCAACACGACGTGTTTACCGTCAAGAGCACCTAGACAGTGGTCGAATTGCCATTTACTTTTAAATTCATCAGCAACCGCAACCAAAAAATGAAGAGCTCGTCTTCAGCAGAAGACGGCGTCATTACATAGCTAGATAATGCATAAACTAATTTAGTGCTGTTATTTTTTATGGAGTGTCACTTTTTAACATAAAATATGGGGACTATAGTAAGGAGTCAAAAGTAAGCTTTCACTTTGGAGTTTAGACAGTTTTTTGTTATTTTTTTCAATTGCACCACTATTATAGTACAGTACAACTAACTAGTGTACCTGTTGCTCGAATTTGAGCATTGCAAAATATTGAAGGCGTTTTTTTAAACGAATAACGGTCACAATTTCCATTGGCTTAAAAGTCAACTCAAAGATAATGTAATCAATCACTCCACTTCAGTTATAGAAACTGGAAACGAACTCACTCTGAAAACGAACGCTCACTCCACTCCATCTATCGAAACTGAAAACGAACTCACTCGAAAACGAATACTCTTGTGTGTATCATGTGTTTACTATGAACAGCTGTAATTAATACGAATTATTCGTCCGTTTAAGTAAACAAAATCTTTTCTTCATAAGAAATACATTGGGATTTTGATGGCCTGTGGGGCAAAGCCCAAAGACTTTTATTACAGGAATTTGTGAAAGAGGGTCTACACATAAAATACTCAATTTTGACACCTCGTTTGTAAAAATCTGTCAATTATTAACGGAGGAGTAGTGTTTCGTAGAAATCGAGTTCACATATTATATATAAGGATATTGTTTCTTCAAAGAGTTTGCTCAAATTTATCTAAAGGTTGATTATGAATTTTTAAAACAGCTATAATTCTATTTTAATTAAATATGTACACCTATGTTACTATGCATGTAATTAATACTACATTTAAGAGATTGTACTGAAGATATTTTTTCAACATCAGCCTAACTTTTATTCGTGTCAATACATAGTACATATAGATAAAATCAGTGACATGATGTTTTAGAGTGATTAATAACTTTTGTTTAGTCAATCCTAATAAATGGCGATGAAAATAAAGCTACCCCATTCTTGGACTTGGGATTCGGTAGAGGTAATTTGATAGAAAAAGTCAAAATTATAACAAAATCTTTTATGTTCTTTGTACAAAATATTTTACAAAGGTGGAAGTCATGTTGAATAAAAATAGCAAGAGGAATAATCAATTGATGGTAAATATTTGCAAATTAGCTGTATTACAAACTTTAGTGCATACAAATACATAGGTAGTTTAACTGATCAAGAATAAACTGAATTCATGTAAACTGCAACATTGTGATTTGTTTTGTTTTAAATGTGATAATGTACTGAAATCATTTATAAATAAATACATCGATAAGTTTATAGTGAAAAGGGCTACTAAAACAAAACAACAAGCAAGGATTCTGTACATGTTTAAAGTAGTAGGCTATACATTACAAAATGTAATACAACAAGAACAGAGCTCAGGGTACCTAGGTATAGTGAAGCCTGGATTGACACTGGTAGTCGGGATGATACTTGCTGACAAGGTACCTAACCTAGGGAGAAAACATTGACCCTCTGATCTTACCAGCTTACAGTTTAGTAGCTTGCTTTCAAAAAGACTTATTTTTATGCTTGATGCTTGGTGGTTTGTGCTATGACTTTGAGAGTACCTATAATGGTATGAAGAGAATTATAAGAAAGTGCCCTATTTACCATTCTTAGCGTAAAAAGTGCAGAAATAGGTTAGGGAGCTTTAAAATGGCTGTGAAAATGTTCATTTCGGTTGGAATTGTGTTTTTGCTGGGTATCCAGACTTCTCACAGAAGACCACAAAGGAAAAAGGATCTCACGGCTATTTTTACACTCCATAACCCAATTATGCACTTTACCCTAACTCACTATATTAGGGCCATAGCCTTCAGTCATCTGGTGATAAATGTCAGCATTGGATATATTTCTTGTCATCAAAAAACGTATCACTGACCTTACCTTACCTCATACGCGGCAGGATATTTGATGGTTTAACCAATTAAAAAAACACAGCAACGCATACATGACAGCTACAAAGCTGAAATTTACGTCATTCTGTTTACAAATGATGCCAGGAAGTGGTCAGGAACCTCATTGTGACGTACAAGCGAATCACCAATTATACACAAAACCGGTCCTTACTTAAAAGCCGCGGTCGAATACGGACCTGCACGAACCACTACATTAGCTTTTATTTTGGTAAATAATGGGATAGCAATTATAATTCCACCTATACTGACTCCCTTCACACATCAAGGTAACCAATGTGTCAGCCACACTTCATTGTGCATTAGTACACACAATGCCATAATGTGGGAGGATTGTTACACAGCTGTAAGTGATAAAACTATCATCCCGCTTACCAGTATCCACCACTGCCATCCACTTACTCCTAATAAGGATTGGGTTTATAAAAAAATATAAAAACAATAATACATCAACAGATAAAAATGCAAGACAGATCAGTAGGCCTACTTAAATTCCTTGAAAAAGAGGTTAGGTAAATTAAACCTCTGTGTTCATAGGTTGAATTGATTATTGTGTAGTTTCAGACCATGCTTGTGTGGTTCAAATCTTTTTTAAAATTAAAACTTAATTGTTTTGGTGACATAGTCACCAACAAAATTGATTTGTTTTTGCATATAATTTTAACAGTACCTTTTGTCAATTTAAAAGTTGACTTCTCTTTGACTTATTCACTTCAGCCTTAAATTACTTTGCTTAATCACTGTCGTCTTCTGTTTCTTCTTCTGTTCCTTCTTCATCATCACTTTCTTCCTCATTCTCACTATCATCCGTAACTTCTTCACCATCACTTTCTTCCATTTCATAGTCATCGTCACTTTCTTCTTCATCTTCACTTTCTTCCTGTTTTACTTTGATTTTCTTGTTTGCTTCTTGTTTAGCCTTACCTTTTGTCTTCTCTTCCTGATTTACCTTACTCTTCATAGTTTCTTCCTGCTTTACTTTTTCTTTCTTAATTACTTCCTCTTTTACTTTATCTTTCTTTGTTACTTCCTGCTTTACTTTCTCTTTCTTAGATACTTCCTGCTTTACTTTATCTTTCTTTGTTACTTCCTGCTTTACTTTCTCTTTCTTAATTACTTCCTGCTTTACGTTATCTTTCTTTGTTACTTCCTGCTTTTTCTTACTTTTTGTAATTTCTTCTTGTTTTTCTTTGCCTTTCTTAATCTCTAATATTTTTTCCTTGCCTTTCTTCTTTTCTTTTTGTTTTACCTCAACTTCCTTGTTTTCCTCCTCTTCCTCCTCATTTTCTACATGTTCGTCCTCCTTTTCCTCCTCCTCATCTTCAGTATCTTCATTTTCTGTTTTCTTTATAATATTTGAAAACTTTTTCAATTTACAAACAAAGAAGCCATCCATGTTGTGCGTGTGAGGGTAGTAGCGACGGGCCAGTTTTAGAGATGGATGAAATCTGAAATTAAACAAGACACCAATAATTAGGGAACCTTAAGAATAAGCTTGTTTACACCTTATCATAATTTAACAAATATAGTGATTTAAATATACAAACATAATGTTCATTCCTCACAAAATTTACAAAATCTTTTCTCAAATATACAAATAAAGTAACTCTGCTCATGTTCTTATTTTATTAACATTTTGTCCAGACCAAAAAAAGTTCCGAAAAGCATTTAAATTTTAAAAAGAATATATTCCCTCTCTTTCAAAATTCAATCTACCATAGTAAGTTTCTATGTATGTTCAACAAAAACTTGTGATTATAATACACCTCTTCTTCTCTCACCCTTAACATTTTCCATTTTATCAAAACATAAAAAACAATGAAAATACTAAGAACATACTGAATAAAAATTACAAACCTGCAATGCCTGTAGTTGGTAAACCCTTCATTGCCAAAGCCGAGTCCAGTTTCAACAACTTTCACATCTCGTTTTTTCAGCGCATAATCTACTACAGCTTCATTTTCTTCTGGCTAAACAAATATAATTGAATTAATAAATAGGTACCGGTACGGGTAAAAATATTTTAGATGCAGGAAAAAAGTTCATAATTTGTAATGGAATAAAATAATTAGGGATTAAGTTGCCTCTCTAAGGACTAAACAATAAGATACAGAAAGTTACCAGAAAACTGATCAAAACTAAAAAGTTCAAGATACATTTATTTTCCTATAGTCACCTGACAAAGTTGACTTCCTTGTACTGTTTATAGTACAGAAAGCTGCTAATTGCTGCATATTTATACTTTGCCGTACGGTTTATACTTTGCCGCACATAAGGATTCCAACGAAACAACACAAAACAGCGTGATTCTATTATGCACGTAATCCGTGTACGCTTGGAAATAGGTTGGCAACACTTAAAGATATAATACTATGAGCAGCTGATTGACTATTATAACTACGATTTAACCTGTCATTTTGTGTTAATAGTTTCGGTATTTCTGAACTTTGTGGACTTTTCTTTTAAACGTTTTTGAAACATTCCTACGATCTTAATAAACAAGAAAATGCCTTTAAAGCTTTTTTAGGCGCGGAAACCACTTCAAATTACAAAAACATACGGAACTATATTCTCAAAACGCGGAGCACATTTCTTGCCGAGGAAAAATAGCGGAGTGATATGGACCGGGCACTACTTTCTCTAGGGCACCTATTTGTGTTGCTAGCTGAACCTAAAAACGTGTTGTATAGTGTTTGAAAGACTAATTATTTATATGCTTTATAGTGACTGTAGGAAAAATATAATGTGTAACATGAGTGCAAAAGGCCTTTGCTACACTCGAATCCCTTGCTGATACAGTATCAGCTATTAACATATCAAACACATGCCAGGAGTTAATTTTCGAAGCAGCAATGATTCGCATGCAGACAACAAAGAAAAAGGATATCTACATTCTGGGAATCTATAGACCACCAATCGAAAATGCAAGAATTGCCCTTGACCTCCTATCAGACACGCTAGAACTACAAGAAGTACACAAGAAAAACCTCATACTCATCGGTGACATAAATATCGACAGGCTCACCCAAGATTCCAAAAACACCATGCTGGAAGAAGAGTTAACCACACAAAACATCTGGAGATTTCCTCTAGAGGCCACCAGAATAACCCATGACACAGCCACTTCAATAGACTGTATATGCTCAAACATACCATATGCGTATATTACTGGACAAGTTGTGCATACTGGTCTATCTGACCACACTGCGCAGCTGTGCCTGCTGAAAACACACCAAGAAGACACTTCCCAAAGATTTGTAATGAAAAGAAGCCTAAACAACACAAACCTAAACAATCTAAAGGCTCACCTCCATCTACGAAATTGGGAACATGTTTACTCTTCACCGAATCTTGAAACCTCCTACAACAAATTTCATAATATTCTTCAAACAGCACTGGAGGATTATACATGCCCATTAAAGAAAACTAAAATTAGTACAAACAAAAAACATATGAAGTACTACGATCCTGAAGCAAAATACCTTAAAGAGAACTTTTTGAAAGCTCTGCAAAAGTTTGAGTTAACGAACAGAAATGAAGACAAATTAGAAATGATTAATAGAAAAAGAATATACGACATGAAACTAAGAAACCTAAAAATGTCCTCAACAGCTAGCTTCATAGAACAAGCTGACAACAAACCAAAAGCACTATGGCAAGTTATAAACAAGGAAAGGAAAGGAAAATGTGAAGAGAAAACCCTTACAGAATTAGAAATAAATGGCAAACTCACAAACGACACAAAAGAAACGGCCGAACACTTCAACACATTCTTCTCAAATATAGCAGAAAATACCCTTGACCAAAACAGAGCAATGGTTATAGACCCTGAAACAGTGCTGAATGGAGAGTAACCAGTCTGCCCAATACACCTTACCCTAACTTCAACATCCTATAAAGAAGTTAAAACGATAATAAACTCCCTAAAAGCCAAAACATCAAGTGGAATAGATGAGTTTTCCTCTAAGATGATAAAGCACTGCTCTCAAGAACTCATCTCTCCTCTGGTTTATCTTATAAATAAATCATTTAAAGAAGGCAAATTCCCATCCGCCATAAGAGTCAGTAAAATATACCCCAAACATAAAAAAGGACCAACTGAAAATGCTCAAAACTACAGGCCCATCTCTCTCATCTCCAGTTTCTCTAAAATCATAGAAAAAATTGCTCTGGCTAGATTAATGGCACATCTTAATCATAACAAACTCTTAACAGACAGCCAACATGGCTTTCGGAAGAATAAATCTACATCCTCAGCTATAACAGCACTAATTGAGTACGTCCTAGATAAGATAGAACAATACATTTCTGCCATCTTCCTTGATTACAGTAAGGCTTTTGACTGCCTGGGCCACGACCTGATATGCAAGAAACTCGAAAGACTCGGTATAAGAAACTCTGCGCTAGAATGGTTCAAAAGCTACCTAATGGGACGTTCACAAGTCGTGGAACTGAAAAACTCATCAAATGAAGTCACAGAAAGTTTCAAATCTTCAAAAAGCAAGCTGACGAGAGGAGTTCCACAAGGCTCTGTATTAGGCCCGATTCTATTCATCTTATTGACTAATGACTTCCCCAAACAAATTGAGAGTGAAAATGCTGTTGCAATCATGTATGCAGATGACACAACCATTTTGATCAAGGACAACACAGCCCAAAACATTTACCTTAATTCAAAATCAATCCTAAATAAAGCTATCCTCTACTCAAAGAACAATGACTTAGCAATAAACCCCACAAAAACTACAACTCTGAATTTCAGTAAGAAAAAAGACATAGTCCCTCAATTAGAGGATGTAACAATAGAAAACCACACAAAATTTCTCGGTGTTATCCTTGATAACAAACTAACATGGAAAGAGCACATCAACCACTTAAGCAAAAAAATCAGTACTGGAATATATGTCGTCAGAAGAATAAACTACATAGGCGGACTCTCCGTGGCCAAAACAGCTTACTTCGCACTGGTAGAGTCGCATCTTAGATATGGCTTGACAGTGTGGGGAGGAACTTCAACAAAAAATATGAATCGAATTCTTGTCCTTCAAAAGAAAGCCATAAGAGCCCTCGCCAACCTTGTCCCACCACAGACTTGCAGACTAGCATTCGCAAACCTAGGAATCCTCACAGTGGTGTCTCTCTACATACTTGAATCTATAAAGTATGTGAATGAAATAAACCCCCCAAGAAACCGAAACCTGCACCACTACAACACCCGTCATGGCTCCAAATTTGCACTACCAGTTCACCGAACAACTCTTTGGGAGAAAAAACCTTCCTACACCGGCTGCAAGCTGAGGAACCATCTACCTGACTACCTGAGAGACCTGACTGGCAACAAGCTACACCAGGAGTTGAAGAAGTGGCTAATCGCAAGACCCTTCTACTCAATAAAGGAATTTTATGAAAATTAACATGTACAATTCACTATTGTATTGACACTATTGTACTTCTTGACGAATTAACAATAAAGAATATTGTATTGTATTGTATTGTATTGTATCATTCCGCACGAGCCACATTGCTCTCGTGTGCAGCACAGTGCCACTTTGCCCACTAGTTACACAAATAACTATTACGATTAAAAACAAACAGTTTGTTTAGACAAATCCATTTACAAGGGTCTTATTTTAGCAAAGCGCTACTGTAGTTGTGTTGTCAAGCTTACCAGCACAGAGCACGTGGAGTACACAATGTATCCTCCTGTGGAGGACCTTGCGTTGGTGCAGTCTATAGCCTCTAGCAGTAACTGCCGCTGTAGTGTGAAACACCTCTGCACATCCTGCGGATCTTTGGACGTCTTCACTCCCGGGTCCTTGGATATCACTCCCGTCCCGGAGCAGGGTGCATCCAGCAGCACCCGGTCGAACCCTTTCATTACCTAGGAAGAGTTGAGGCGATTGAAATTGGATATTTGTTTATATTCGTAGAATTGTCAATTATCACCAAAGAAATTAAAATACGTTTGGTTTGGGTACATTCTTAAGATTAAAACATTCAAGCAAATATTATTGGTTGTAACAGTATACTACATGGTCAAAACCAGAAATTTTGAATCTCAAAACCAAGACGCAAAACCTTTTTAGTTAGCTGGTTACAAGGGGTAAGGTTACAAAAAAAAAAAAAAAATACAGGTAATGATAAAATGTTAAGTATTTAATCAAATTGAAAGAGGTCGACTCCTGACACTGACATAATAACATAAATATGTGACTGAAACCCCCAAAACAACATAATTTTATTACCTATAACATTAAAATAAATTAAGCTCCTGACACCAACATAAACATTAATATTAGATTAATTAGAACATTTAGTGGTCAATATTTATTTGAGTTTATTAAATATATCGCTATGAAACTGAGTTGTATGTTGTTCCAGTTATAGTATTTAAGATGCCTTTTGAAGTTCAGAATCAGAATACAATTTACTGTTTTCATTACTGTTAATGGTGATCTGTATGATCTATTGCTAACAGCTTGTGTGAAAAGTGGAAACATTGTTAGACACAATAATAATGATGCAAAATATGTCAGCAGTTTCAAGAATAAAACTGCCAAAATCTTAACTTTCGAAACTTTTGAATATCGAAACTCGGTGATCGAATCTCGAAACCAAAACTTTTCCAAAATTTTGATGGTTTTGAGATTTGAGATTCGGTTTTGGGATCACATCATTTGTCCGAGTTTTCAACTGTCCGAGTTTGTTAAAAATTACAAAATATTTGAAAAACCATTTGTCCGAGTTTTCAACTGTCCGAGTTTTCATTTGTCCGAGTTTTTAAATTATTTAAAAAATATCAAAATATCATTTGTCCGAGTTTTCAACTGTCCGAGTAGGGGCAACATCAAAATGTGACACTGCGCGCCGAGACTAGCGTGTCTAATGCGCCTGTTCAGAAGTCGATGTGAACCCCTTCTGTGAAGGAGTCAGGCATCGTGCGAGCCGCGAGAGCCCCTCACGTCGAATTAAGAAAAAATATTTTATTTTTATATAAGACTAATTTTACAATTATTAATTATAAAATTAAACTCTCATCACCTAACACAACCAACCAAACTTGCTGATAATATAAAATACCCCCGCCATTATTATATTATCAGCAAGTTTGGTTGGTTGTGTTTGGTGATGACAGTTTAATTTTATAATTAAAAATTGTAAAATTAGTCTTATAATAAAAATAATATAATTTTTCTTAAGTCGACGTGAGGGCCTCTCGCGGCTCGCACAATGCCCGACTCCTTCACAGAAGGGGTTCACATCGACTTCTGAACAGGCGCTTTAGACACGCTAGTCTCGGCGTGCATTGTCACATTTTGATGTTGCCCCTACTCGGACAGTTGAAAACTCGGACAAATGATATTTTGATATTTTTTTTTAATAATTTAAAAACTCGGACAAATGAAAACTCGGACAGTTGATTTATCTAATTATTATTAGTTATTTATCAAAACTCGGACAGTTGAAAACTCGGACAAATGATTTTTCAAATATTTTGTAATTTTTAACAAACTCGGACAGTTGAAAACTCGGACAAATGAACCTCACCCTCGGTTTTGACACATCACCACAGTATACTATATCTTGTAACGATATACTATATCTTGTAACGTTATACTATATCTAATTTATAATGTTACTGTTCAACACAGGGAATAGCCACAATGTGACCTCGGAAATGAATTGTGCATAAAATGCAATGGGCTTTAAACATTCCTGGAGTTGTATCATGTTCCCTTCAGATAGGGTTATGGGCGATTGTTAGAATGCAGAACATCTGCCTAGAGGCCCAGGTTTATACCCCTGATAATCTCTTATGTTTTGCTAAGTGCTTGCAGTAACCTCTTGGTTCGGAGCCCACATTAAGGGAATAGTTCCAAATATAATTTATAAAAGACTAGCTGGCCCGACAGACGTCGTCCTGTCCTATTGTGGTTTTATGTCACATGCTCGTTCATTTTCAAGATGAGCTCGTTCGCATGGCTCAATCACGTCCTGGTTGAAGTTTGTTCGCTACGCTCACTCATCTTTAGGTTGAAGCTCGTTCGCTGCGCTCACTTGCCTTCAGGTTAGCTCGTTCGCTACGCTAACTCGCCTCCAGGTTGAAGTTCGTTCGCTACCTCACTCACATTTTGGTTGCAAATTAGCTATTCTCATAACTTAAAAAAATATAGTGCTGCACCCTGTTGGTAAACCTATTAACTTTTTAATGTTATTGAACATTACAGAATCAGATAGTTTAGTTGAACCAGCTGTTGAGATTCTTTAATTCCATTTAAATATGAGTACTCATAAGGTTAACATGGGAAACTCCAGAGCCACTGGGGCAGAGCCCTTTTGACGGATCTGCACCAAACTTCACACAAACCATCCTTGAATAATGCTTAATAATGCCTGAAATCTTCATTACAATCTGTCGAGCGGTTTTGGAGTCCATAAAGGACAAACATACAAACAAACATACATTGTATTTTATAGATATAGATAAGTTCAACTTAAATGCTTAAAAACATTTTGAACATTTCATTATCTAAATAAAAAACTAAAAACTTACAGTTGAGAATTTCCGTGCATCATAACTGCAGACGACAGTGTTGATGATCCCAAGACGGTGAAAGTTTCCGACAACTGCCTTCCCTCGATCTTTGTTCACATCGTTTGCAAACAACATACCTGTGTTCTTCATGACAGCAGCTATAAAACAGGGTGTCCAATTATAAAAACTGTAAAATATATTTAATCCCACCACTTTAACATAGCTTCTGAAATTCTACACAACTACGCTGTAACCAAAAGTAGGATAGTATGAATTAGCAATCCTGGGCTGCTACTTTGGTGTTCATTAACCAGGATTTATGAACACTCAAAACAGTGCCACCAAATGAGAAAAACTATATGACTTTAGAAATGAGAAGTAAAATGGGTGTCTTTATTGAAATTTTTGTGAAAAAATCTTATAAATAATAGTGAAAGAGAAGAGAACTTAACCCTTTTTTAAATTTAGGGCTAGGCTTACAAGTAACCATGGGATTGCAGCGCAGCTGGAACAGCTTATTGTGCACCCTCATTCACAGGTCCTCATTCTTTGTCAAATCCCAGGTCCTTTGTGAACCATGAGATCTTTTTTATCCAACCCTGATAACATGTATAGAAATATATTTAAAGTACCCTTTGTGTGCTATGTAACACTAAGTCTTAGGACCGAAAAATGTTTTTTATTACAGATCATCATGTGAAACTTAAAAGGCTGAATGGGTTTTACCAAAAAGCTAATATTAATGATGAAAACAACAGAATAACACAACAACTTATACTTTTAACTACATGTACAAAAGAAAAAGATAAACTTTAAGATTACTTAACAACATAGAGGTGATACAGATTTATAATAATTATTAAGTAGATTACCTATGTGAGAGGCTTTCCCGCCAGGAGCAGCACACATATCCAGTATCTTCTCATTCTCTTGTGGTGCCAGGGCCATGACAGGCAGCATACTAGACGCTCCCTACATCCACAGTAAAACATTAATCAGCTGGATATTACATTAAATGAAATACAGTAAAACCTCTTTTAATCACATCCGTTAATCTGGAACCAGGGTCTGCAACCATCATAACAAATTAAAATTAATTGGAAAGTTGGCTAGGCGATGGGAATACAGTAGACTCCCTCTTATCCGGACTTAATACTTTTCAATGAAATGTCGACTCCTCGGGACTTTAATACTTAATACTACCTGTCCGGATAATGTTTTTTCCGGTTAAACCGACGTTCCCAAAAACTTGTTAAAATGGACCATTTAAATGCATATTGAATACATATTTGACTTAAATTTAGGAGAGCATTGTATTTAGACACGTGATCACTGGTCTCAAATCTTTTCCACGAGAACAGTCGTTTCAGTACCATCCTGCCAATCTAGTCCAGTTTTACCGATGTGCTGATAAAAATAGTCCGGTTATAGAGATGTCATTTCCGCCGAGTTTAGTCCGGTTAAAAGGTGTCCGGATAAGAGAGAGTCTGAGAGTGTCTAGATAAGAGTGTAGTCCGTTGTGGCACAAGTAGTTGGTCAGTCTTGGCCAACAGAACATAATGGAGCAGAAGATGACATAGATCTCATATTTTGATATAGATAAAGTTCAGAAATCAAAAGTGACAGTGAACTAATTTAAGAAACATATTTAAGATATTTACAGTAGTAGGTTTAAAAAAGTCAGGAATTAAAATAACATAAAAAAACTGATGCTGTAAATATTTTTAAATGTTTACCATTAATTAAATCAAAAATAGGTTACCTGAAACGGCTTTAACTCCTTTAGCTTGGTTCATTAAAGTTTAGGTTTTAATGTACCTTTATTTGCTACCTTTTCTAACAGAATGATGACAAAAATGAAAAGCGGCTGTAGGCCTACTTATGGGATACGCCCACTGGGCTGGGATCTGTGTGTAGTTTTACTTGTTATCAGACTCAAGTCATATAAACAGAAGGTGAGGATGGTTGGTTGCTTAATTTATTGAAAAACAAAATATTGTTTGAATGGTTTGAGAGAAATTACAGCAATGGTAACACAGCCAGTTCAATCAAAGCCAGAGGATAGATTAGAAGGGGCAAGGTTTGCATTAACTTATAGTCTGGTCAAATCAAAGTCTTTCTTCACTATGATAGTACAGTAGAACCTCGATATTTCGACACTTTGTGGACGTAAGGGGTGTCGAACTATCGAAATGTCGAACAATAGGGAGTAAATGGTAAATGGAATATACAGGAAAGTAAAAATACAAGTTTTATATAGAAATCACCCTAATTTATTAAATACTAAAAAGCTTAACAATTTAACTGTTCATTAGTCTCAAGTCAATAATAAATGACCAATTAATGTTCAAATCAACTTACATCACAATAGTAACCATTAATATCACTTGACAAAATATTTTGTGATTTTTGATTGTTTTTCACTTTGATAACTGGAAAGAACTGGTACCGGTCATTGACCGGCGTACGTGTCAAAACAAGATATCGATCATGTTTAGACGGGTAGCCTCAGCCTGTGTCAAACTAGTGAAGGTTTACTGTAGTTTCTATCTTGTCCACATTTGATCAGAAAACCAATTGCAAGTTTGTAAAAATGTTTATGCCACACTACAATGTTTTAATGAACTTCCCACGCAAGGATTTAGTCCAGAAAACAGCTGTTTGCCGCCAGCTTAATTAAATGGGGTTTCATTACGTACTACAGTACTGTAATGAACCTTTTTCGCTCCACTACTATGAAATGACATGTTTTAGTTGCATGTTTATCACCTGCAAAAATCTATCATACATTGTTTACTAAGGCAAAAGAATGCTTACTATGCAAAAGTAATGTTAAGTATCTTTTTTTGGATTTTCCCATCTTTTTTTGTAAACAAACAAATATTTGTCATTGTTTTATCAACTATATCAATTTTCAACGACTGAAGTAAACATAACTTTAAATTGAATGCATAACCTAAACGATTCTATGAGTTTTGTGATGAAGGAAATATTATTCTTTGTAGTGTAGCAAAAAGTAACGATCAAAACAGTCAAAACAGTCTCGACCATTTAAAGTGCTCGATAAATCTTGCACTTCAAACATGGTCTCAAATATGTAATAACTCACTTTCTACTTTTGTTATGAAACATACTATTACCGGACACCAACCAGCTGATTATATTTGGCAATGAGTGGTTATAAAGAAAAACATGACCTCTCTTAGAGGTTAAGAGTAGTGATTGTTAGGTCTTTAGTCAGTGGGAATATATAAGGATTTAAATAACTTCTTGATCAGTATTGTACAAGTTTTTAAATTTACGGAAAGTAAATAAAAGAATCGTCTTATAACACTTAAAACATATATTTACACTTGTACTGTTACTCACAAGACATTAAATATACAAAAAAGATGGTAAGCGGTGATCGATTTTGATTTGACACTCCAATCATCGCCTATTGGGTTTGAAGATGATTGGAGTGTCTTCGCCTATTTTCAAGACTAGTAACGTAATATACTATTTAGTTGATTGTTTTTGAACTGACATATAATACATCACAAAATTCATTTTTGCTTAAAGCAGGTGTTTCCACATCTCTTACCTGTAGTATGTAATGCCCTGCCAGATACTCTGGGGTTGCTCCTATGGGAACAGTAGCATTGTATATGACCAGTCCAACCTTGGACCACTTGCCAACCGGGTCCAGGTTGACTCCCCTGGCAATCAGAGCCTACAACCGACAAACAATACATTAACCTGACATTCAATGTCTTCCACACAATTTTCGTATAACTCTCAGACTTATAGAATAAATTCCAGGTTTTCCCAGTCGGTTAGTGTGAGCAGCTTCCCTTGTATTTTGACTTTCCTTAGCACTATGAGGCATGACATCCAAACAACAAAACATCCAGCCACGTACCCTTCTAACACAAGTCCTTATTTGAACACAAACTCACATTGTTTTGCTACAGAAAACTCTGAAAGCATGAAATGTCTGTATTATGTACTGTCTGTATTTGCACTACCTTCACCTACTTCTTATTTTATGTAGAATGTGCTAAAACCTGTTTATTATCCAATATAACACAGTTTACTTTTAACAACGAATCAATAATTCTGAAGCAAGAATAGTTCGGTACCTGAGCCAGATCTCTTCTCCGAGTCTTGAGGCTGTTGGTCCGTATTGTAAGTGGTCGCTGACTCTCACTAGCCTCTAGGAAGTCCATCAACTCCGTGAGAGGGAACAACTTCATGAACATCTCCATGAGATACTCGTTGTAGCTGAAATACTGACAAAGGTCTTCCCGCAGCAACTCTAGGTAGTCCTGGCGAGATCTAATACAGAGTGAAATAACATTAAATTGCTTGCCAGGTATACCAGGGCTGAAACTACTAAATAACACAGAAACTTTTGCAGGCCTTACTCAAATGAGCGAGTAAAAAACTTTTTACAGTTGTGATATTGAATTAATGTCGATGCCAACAGCAAGACAGAAGTCAAAGAAATACACACTTATCATAGTTAACTTTATAGTCAGTTATGAAATTTAAATTCTTTAACTTTAATACTAAGCCATGTGAAGCTAGTTTAATTTTGTTTCCAGTTAAATTGATCGCATATTGTGATACTAGATTAAAATGAGCCCTACAAATCTTTCAATAATTGTAACAAATTCAATTAATTGTAAATAATAAGTACGGGTAGGTAGCAAATAATAGTAAATTGTAACCATTGACTATATATACCTACAGAAGACATCCCAGGCTTATGGGCCTGTAGTAGTGTGAGCCAGGTCTCGGGAGCAAGTAGTTGATGTGAGCTGCCGGTAGGCGCGCGATAGTAGGCTATCTGCACTCTCTCTCGTACATTCCCCCCTCACCCCGCGGCCTACTCTGCATCGCTCTCACTCGCACATTTCTTCTCTCTTTATTTCGCTTCCCAACCGACCACGTGCACGTGACTGACACTGCTACCAGGGCCGGATTTCCCAATAAGCCTGGGCCTATGGGCGCAAGGTCCCAGAGTAATTTTTTATACCTAGGCTATCTAAAAATAAAAATAAATAGTCATAGTCGATAAAAAAAAAAAACTCCAAAGCATTGTGATTCTGAAGTTCATAAAAAGAAATAATTGTTAGGAAATTTAATCTTTTTTTAAGAATTACGCATCAATTTCGTTACAAAATTCGTAACGAACATTGATTATACGGGAGTAGGCTGTAGGGATGTTGACGTTGACGAGCGCCCAAGGGGTTCGCATCATATTGCCAATGCACTGCCACTATGCTGGCTCGGGCTCGGCACTACTGATCAGAGTGATTAGGGGCGCATGCATGTTAGACATTGTTACCACCCTCACCTCACCAAATAAAAGTTATTAACTATTCTTTTGATTAGTTTACATTACACCAATCTGTAGGATCAAGTTAAAATATATAATAAGTTGTGTTGATTAAAACAACGATAAATTTACCTTTAAAATTAACAAAAAAATATTAATCTCAGATTGCATTGGATTTTAGAAAAATTCAATACCCTCCAAAGCACCATTAATGCTGTCATTTTCTCCTCAGACCTAAGGATCGGTATGGTTTGCCGGATTATTGCTCTGTTTTGCTTTGGAAATATAACCTAGATGCAGTACGACTATAGATTAAATATAACTCAAGTCGACTTCTTATGACATTGTTAATTCAAAATTGTTTCATGTCTAGCTCATGTTGGTGACACTGGACGTTAGTTTTGACGTAATTTTGCTTCTATTATTTTAGGATTAGTTCTATGATGTGTGTTTTAATTTCTTGTAATATAAACAGGAGACGACCTATTGTTGATGATTATATAGTTTTATTTTGGATAAACTAGGTTTAAAAATAGATAAAACATACTCCTTAAATAACAAGAATTGTTTTCAGCTAATCCAAAATTATGAAAAATCTACTAAATTCTCATTGGTCATAAAACTAAATTCCATATCCAAGATATAATCAAATTATGTTTTCTGATTGAGCGATACAGTATCTTGAGCTTAACTGATTAAAACTATCAATATCTCAAATGAAAGCCTTTATTTCTAGAAGTATTTTAAGACCAAGGCATATAAAATGACTTAAATAAAAAAGAGTTACGTATCATTGATTGCAGATAAGTACTAAAATGATTATAACTATTGTTGTGTCGTGATTCAGCAGTGTGCTTTAAGTAGTCAGATCTTAATAATCAATAGCTAAAATGAAAGCTGGTATTTCACTAAAGGTTTTTAGACCAAAACATATAGGGTAATGTAATTAGAACTGCTGGAATACATCTTTAATTGAAGTAAAAAATCAAATTTATATTTTTCGTCGATAATTAGATAAATTAATGATGATGCTTGATGACAAATATGTGCTTGTATATTCATTGCCTCCAGTATATTAATTTTTTGGCAAAAATTTCCAATTTTACCTCCTGGTAGTCTCAGGTTTGTCTTTTGAGGGCTCTTCTTCTACTTTCAAGGCTTACGCTAATTCATCTAACTGCAATAAATAGAGTTAAATTAAACAGTTTTTTAGAAATTACTATTGTTTCATGAGTAATAAGTGTAGAAACAATAATGACTATTGCATTAGTTACAAAATATGGTTGATCATTCAATGAATAACATATTTCTTATACCGTCCGTCATAGGAGTTATTGTTCCAATATTAAGTGGTTTAACTTCTTTTTCATGAATATGACATAAAGAATGCTTTTGGAAGAATCTTTAAATAGTATTATAATCGTATTGGTGGATGGTTTGTGGAACACACTTCTGCGATTTCATCAGTGTTATGCAGATAATTTTTATTTTTTAAAATATATGTTTGTTGAGTTTAAAAATCATCGAAAACATCAAATGTTCATAAGACTTTGCGTAGTCAAAGTAGGCCCATATTATTTAATAGGTACTTCAAGTTCTAATCCTCGTTATTGCTTATTAATTACATTTTGCTGAAAATGCTTGTAAAATATCGAGCAACGTCAAATTTAACGTAGTTGGTTAGGTTGAAAACGTCAGATAAATCGTCATGGTTTCTTACTTCTTTAATAAAATACGGAGTAATTAGTCCCTGGTAACATGTTTGTTAAAGAAAAAAATACTCAAACTTCAATCAATTGTAAGCCTCGAATACGAATTTTTTAAAAAATTCCGCGACCAGCAGGGATAGGACAGGCCGCAGTGTGGCTGCGGTGAGACGACATCGAGTAGTGTGAGTACTAACAGCTGATCGAGAGATGGTTTTGTTAGTGCTCAGCTCATTGACCTTTCTGGATATTGTTGTTGCAGTTACAGCGACGCATTGTATCCTCTCTCCACTCTCCCGCCCCCCCCCCTCACAGCTATCGTCAGCTGGAGGAGCTGAGCGCTGAACCGTCGACTGCCCCTCTACTTGTCTGCGCATGCGTCGAGACTGCTTCTAATCTTTACTGATAGATCGCACCACATGCTAGCGCTTTTCTGGCGCTCCTAGCCAACAAAACACTGGCGACAGGTCCACTATGGCTATGGGTTGTCTATAGGTATATAGTCAATGTTGTAACTTAGTTAAAATCTCAAATAATTACAAGATGCTGTTAGAAAAAACAGATGTTTTACATTTAAGGCTAAAATAATTTAAGTAAATCAATAAATTTAAGCAACTATTGCAAAGAAAAATTAAACAAATTAGGTTCGCATTAAAAATTCTAATAATCACAAGTTTTTTTTTTTTTTTTAATAACAGATGAAAAACATAAATTCACAAACATTTTTCTAACAAACACATTAGCCTATAATATGTTTATCCATAAAAGTATGCTTTTTGAAGGCAAAATTACACAAACAATAACGTTAACAATGAAAATAAATTTGTATAGCTACCATACCTGTCTTTCTCTCTGAACTTGTTGAAGTTGGAGAGAACTAGCAGGACATCCTTGATTCGCTGTTCAACCTCAGGCAACGATGTTTTCTCTCTCTCTCCCTCCTTGGGAAATGCAAACACTTCACGGTTAGCAACGTTCAGTTGTAGCTCCTCTTCTGCCTGCTTTCTATAAAATGAATATATATTTAATTGATACACATAATTATTATTTTACAAATAATATATATATAATTTATTAATTTATGCATGTATATTTCATGTTTTGTACTGTTGTTAAAACAAAAACACCCAACATAATTTGACTGTCTCGCAAAGTAAAATAATGTTTTATTTTGGTAGCAATGTAAGAGCATTAGTATTGTTACAACCAGTACAGTAGAATTTTTTAGATATTCATATTTGACCTAGACAAAAGGTCAACCTGATTCCTGATTACCTAGTATGTGTCTAATCGTCTATATGCAGTCAATGCAATTCGTACAGTATATTAAAGATAGGTTCCCGGATTACTGGATGGATGTTACTTAAATATAATTTTATTTCAGTATTCATTATCATTCATTTTAGACCATTATGAGGGTACTAGATTGCAAAAATGTATTACAGTAGGCTAAAATTATTTAGGTAGAGTTTAATAAAATGAAGTTGTTAACACCCGCCTATTTATAAGGAGAGAATATTTACGGTTATGCCTTTTTGATTGCATTTGCTTTAATCAAAGGTTTGGCATGTCTTAACCAAAACATCAAAACATATACTAACTCCTCCTTTATTTTCTTTTTCTTTAGCTTTTTAGCAGCTTTTTCGACAGGTAGCAGATCTTCATCTTCTGAATCTTCTTCATCATCTTCATCATCATCTTCATCGCTTTCTTCATCCCTATCTTCTGAATCTCCAGATTCTGTGGTTTCGTCATCTTTATCCACTTGTTCCTTGTTTGGCTAAAGATAAATAAATAAATAAATAAATTTTTAGTAGCCTATTTTTCAGGTTAAATGAAAAAAATAGTGACTATATTGACATGAAAGAAATATTTAAGTAACAACAACTTAATCATAAATTCCAACAAAAGTGAAAAGTTGTTGCTCTAACAATCGTTGATTAATAATTAGTAATGAAAGTTAGCTTTAAAATATTAACCACAAAATAGGCTTAAGATTAAATAAACCTGGTTTACTATAGGATTGTCGGAGGCCAGTAGTCCTACTCGTGGCAGTGTTCTCTCAGAGTCAAATTTCAGGGCAAATGTGAGGGCAGTTGGCAAGGCAATTGGCCTGAGGTGTTTACACAAAGCCAATAGGCCTACTTTCATGCCAGTCAGTTGTCTTCTGACAATTGTCTCAACTATTGGCATTGTGTAACCCGGCTTTAGTAAAAACAACATAACGTCCCCTCAAAACCAACTTTTGGTATGCTACTGCCTTAATATAATTTCAAGAAGAGTTCATCAAAGATATTACATTAATCTTTTTGGGTGTATTAAACAATAAGGATTTTCAAAATTCTGATAACTTATATGTATAATTAACAGTGTAAAACTTACTTTTGCTTTTTTTTGGATCTCCTTTTTGTTTTTACTTTGGACTTGTTCTTCCTCTTCACTGTCATCTTCTTCAGAATCATCACTTGATTCCTCTTCACCATAATCATCTATTTCATCTTCTTCACTCATACTAGCATCACTAGCTTCGTCACTCTCTAATTCATTATCTTCAATCTCTTCCTCGTTGTCTTCTAAACTTTTGTCAACCTTCTTCTTTTTTGGTTTCAACCAACTACTGTTATCATCGGTAAATCCAGCCTTTATTTTTTTATTTTTTCCTTTCAGGGAGCCGTTAGTAAGGCCTACCTGAACGTTTTTCACTTCAGATTTGTTATTTGTACCATTTAATTTATTTTTGATATTTGAATCCAGTTTCTTTTCGTGAATTATTTCTTTAGAACCCTTCTTTTGAAAATTATTTACTTTAGAATTTGTTTTCTTATTTGATTCAAACGGTTTTTTGTTTTGATGAGAGGTTTTACTTTCAACAGTAGATTTTTTTTCTGTAGGGACAAAAAACACAATTTTAAAAGTAAAATGAATGACCAAATTTAAAATAGCCTAATGATATGACAAGAAGAGTGTAAGTTAGATGTCTGAGGGCTTTTAAATATAGGTATTGGAAAACCAACATATTTGGGGAAAAAATTCTTTATGTATGGTATTTACCAAAAAGATAAAATCTGAAAATATTGTACAATTTAAGAACCAATTCAAAGAATTCATGTTTAACAAACTGTTATTCTTTAGATGAGTTTTTCCACCTTCGTTCACAATAGAACTAAAAGTTTAAGGACTAATTAAGTGTTCAATAGTTGAAGTTTTAATATTGCTGTATTTTTACTGTAATTGATTGACACTATTTATGTACAAATGTGCATGAAATAAATTTAATTAACTTTTGATTTCATTTGATTTACCATAGCAAACCTATAGACAAAGAGAATTTCCGTTTGCCTGATTGAATTTTCACTTAGGCCTAAATATTAACTTAAAACTTAAAACATAAATAAAAATTAATAACATAATTAACAAAGTAGGCCTACCCTTAATTTATTCTAAACATGTTAGTTTTTACTTTCTCCCCTTTACCATAGTATACCTATGGGGAAAGTATTGTTTTCGTAAACATTTTTGAGTTTGAGTTTTGAGTGGATATATCAGTTTTGCGTCCCTCTAGACCCCCAAAAAAGTGGTTTTCGAAGTGATGTCTCTGTGTGTGTGTGGATGTATACAGACTGTAGGTAGGCCTACCTGTGGTCCGATTTTGATGAAATTTGGTACCGTACATATGTAGGAACTAATCCATGATATCTCCAGGCGTTTTTTTTTTTTTTAAATTTTTTTGAAATTATGATTTTTAATGCTGATTTCTCTATAAAAACCCATAAAATAACGGAAAAATCAAATTTTCTCTAAAATGGCCTGAACGATTTTGATAAAAAATTTAGTTAGTAGCAGCCCTTTAAATTCTGAACAAAATGCTAGAACTCCCATTTCTGTAAAATTTACGGTTCCAAAGGTTTTTGTATATTATGTTATTTTCCCATAAAAAGCCCCATAAAATAAGATAAAATCATATTTTTTAAAGAAACCGGTTTTGACTGAAATTAGTATATGATAATCCTTAATGTTGTTGTTCACAATTTGCATTTTTGGTTAAAGTTTGTTCCTTTTATGTTATGTATGTGTTTCTAAAGTTATGTGCTTGATCTTTACCATTAATATTAGTGAGTAAAGTGGTACATGGATTTCATAACTGTTATTTTTCTAGAGACCGTTGTATTTAACCACACCTGCTGCTATAGGTCAGCAGGTTAGAAAGCATCCTCCTTGTAGTATTGGTGCGAGAGGGATACCGAGCTGTGGGAGTGAGACAGACTATGGCTCTTCCCCCACTTCGCTGCCGCCCCACCCCCAACCTTCTCGAACAACTTAAATACTAGTAGTATGCTTATTCTGCGCGTAACGGGATAGTGAACGTGAGCGCAACAATGGAAAAGTCCACCCGCACATAGCCTACTTACCGGTGTCACTGGTGAACACAATGTAATTTGTATGGGCAAATCAACCAAATCTCAGTCAACAATCCTAACTTCTCATCCATTAATTAACCAATGTCATTTGTTGCAGATGTATTAATCTAACTGCCACCAACGGTTCCCACACTCCGCACTGCTCGCCTTGACTACTTCCTTCACCACTTCCTTCGTCGTGGACCTGTTTCCCTCCCTTCCATAGCATTTAGAATTGCAGATACATTAATCTAACTATCACAAAGGGTTCTCACACTCCGGATTGCTCACCTTGACTACTTCCTTCACCACTTCCTTCGTCGTGGACCTGTTTCCTTCCCTTCCCATAGCATTTTCGTATTATAGATTCATTAATTTAACTGTCACAAAGGGTTTTTACACTCCACAACGCTCACCTTTACCACTTCCTTCTTAATGTTACCTTCAGGAATATTACCCTGGTCAGAATTTTCCGTAGTGAATATGCGTATCCTATTAAAAGATGTAGCCTTAGCCTACTTAAAACAACATATACAGGATATTTATATATAGTTGCTCATGACTGAAATTGGTCTGGCTAAGAACAGAGCTGCTCTTTAATTAAAGTGCTTGTGCTGCAAATGCCAAAGATACTGTAACAGAAATTAGCATCTTTCCATTTTAAAAGGTAAGTTTGTTTCAGACGGGCCAATTTTTATCCTCGAAATCAAAATATGTCCCTACTCACTTCTTCCAGTTAGGACTTTACATTCTACTTTACATTTGTTGTTAACCGTGAAGCCTTGTGCCATTAATGAGGCCCTTTTTGATGTATTGATATCAAAAAAACCACTGCCCCCTTTAATAAGTGTAATCTGTGTCTTGGCAATCCACTGACCTGTGACCTCTATATTTAAAAACTCAGTTGGAATTTCTAGATGGGTGTCTCCGCCTTCGTCTATTTTCGAGGACTCACTCTTCTTCCCCTTGGCATACTGACAATTTAATTCTAACTTGTCAAGTTCATGTAGTAATTCATTAATACCGTTAGTTTATAAAGAAAATTAGATAAAAGTTACTTGGCTTGGTGCTTTCAAAACTGCTAACTCAAAATACACCCACAAGTAAAAAAGAATAAAGTTATTGGTTAAAAATAACTATGTTTGTGTAAAAACATTATTCACATGAAGTAGATGATTTGTTTGATTTCTCGATCAGCTGTTTAGTTTCTAATGAATTAATAATGTCAAAGATTTGTGATTTTTAATACATCAATTATTACAGTAAAGTTTTCTAAATCATGGTACTTATTCTCAACTAAATTTTACTATTCCCAGCATTAAAATAAAGTAGTGAGATCCATTGTGAGTAAACTTTAAGGTACACGATCCTTGATTGAAATGTAGTATACATTAACAATCATAATACACAGCAATTATTATGCAGTAGACTTTGACTATTTTCAAGTAACAAACATATTATGTTTCTGTAAATAAAAATTATCTCCCATGTTATCCTTATGGAGAAATACAAAACTTTAAAGGGCCCCAGGGCCTCACTCTCTAATTATTTCCTTAAAAAGAATGTGTCCTGCACAACTTCACATTACGCTCTTTCCAATGACACCAAAAACATGTCAATCGGTTCAGTAGTTTCGGAGGAGTAATTGTCACAAAAAACCTGCTTGCGTATTAAATAAGTATAGAATAGATATAGATATAGATATAGATTATTACATTAATATCTATATAGGCCTAAATAAAATTACAGTTTTGTCTGTACATTGCTTAGAATCATGCAGTTTTTGGTTATTTTTACGTTTCATAGCCTAAGAAAGCGGAAACAAGTCTTATCTCAATTTCTGTCTGTATGTCTGTTTGTCCATTCTGTGACTCCGTCTGTAACGCCAAAATGTCATTTTACGCGGCCTACTCCTAGAAAACTAGAGTACCGATCAAGGTTCTAATCATTTTTCTGTATTTACTGGATTGGTGAGAGTGTCTTTGGCTATAAAAACATGGCCTCGCTTCTATGAAAACAAAATAACAAACCACCAAAAACACAATTTTGTTCGATTTTTGTAAAATTTTCTCCCAATGTTTACTATTACATTTTATGAAATAACGATCAGCTGTTTGGATTAGTTCACTTCTAGCTGTCAATGATATGTTTACATTCAAAGTTGTTTACAAATACCGCAACCATTTCCGATCAAGTTTTGTCAGCACATCCAAACCAAGTGAGATCAAAAACGTTGTGCTTTAATTAATCGCAAGTGCAACGATTGTTCTTGAGTATTGATAACCGAGGAAAATACCGTGAATCAGTGTTGTATTAGTGCAAGGAAACTTACATTTTTTTAATCATCGTCACCAATACCGTAGCTTACAAAGGTTTCCAGCTCATTGACAGCGCTTCAAGGATAGTTGTGTTAAAAGGCAAAGTAAAAAATCACAACTGCAGTGGGTGATCGTGGATGTCGATCTTGGAAGATCTTCCTGATTTCGCTGTGATCGTACCGTAACAGAGGTTTAACTTAACAGATGTAGCTAAACTTGCTTTTCCAATGTGTCACTTTTGGTTTCTACTTACTTACATTTCGACAACGATATCGGTACTTTTCCTACTTAGGAAATAAAACTACAAACGTACAAAACCCCAGATTTGTGCGTTTTTTGTCACATTTCCTCCGAATGTTTGATATATATATGTACCGATTATTGTTTAGAGATTACGTAATCTTTTAAATAAGAAACCTTTGTTTGAATAAAGGTGGTTTCTTCAAACTGTCATTAATATGTTAACATTAAAAGCTGCTTACAAATAATGCTATTAATGGGAAATAACTTTGATTTTCAAAAACTTAAAAAAAATTTTAAACCAAAGGAGATTAATAACTTCGGTACTGCACCACATCAAGTGAAAGTTTTTTTTAGCAAACCATAGTGAGTTTTCAAAGCTTTACGTTGTTAACGTTACATGTTACATGTTTTGTGGCCTGTGTATTTATTTATTTATATATTTGCCAACAGATTAACACCTATAATACAGTTTGATTAGAAGGACAGTTTGAATTAGTCGTAAGTACTACAGTTCTTTTCTCAAATGTAAACGTTGGTTTTTGGTACTACTACTTTTCCTTAGAACCGGTGGTAGCAGTAAGAATCATTTTTACACACAAACACACCACTATTTTCACTATTTATTTATAAACACTGCACCTTATTAAATTTAATTGATGTCTTAGGCTACTGTATTGTGACGGCCCTGGCATATTTGCCTCATTTTGTTGTAATTTGTTAACTTTGAGCTTAAGCTGATTGGCCTTACTCCCTAAACCTGGCCCGTTGGCTATCACCGAATATTTGCTAGGTTGATGTGTCAACCGTATTTAGCAATATTGAATTTTATTTAACTTCAAATAAGTCTCCAAGTGAACCTTATAACTCATATTCCAATTAATTTCATTACTTTGTAACCCTACAATAATCCTAACTAGACGTCGTGGC